CATACAATAAGACGACCCCAAAATGGACAGAGCGCATGCGTACAGCCTAGAGGGGGTACTGGTATTCATGATATGCTCACGATGCATATTACGATGTATGCAGCAAAATCCTATAGCGCCGCGTAGTGGTATGCAGTAGGACACCCTTTTTCGACACTGATGCATGCAGCGATCACAGGGCCGTGCGAAACCACTTTCACTCGACACTTTGCCAACCGCAGTACAGGAAGTCGATGCCAATGCGTGATATGTTGAATGCCGACTTACACAAAGGATTTTGTAATGCTTTTTGTGGAAAGGGGGACCGAGAGTAACATGACGACTTGAGCAAAATGGCGACTTAGAAAATAAAAGTTCAATGAAAATGCATTACGGACAATCGGGACTTTAGTCAGACGGCCGACTTGAGTGATTTGACGAGTTGTACGATGTCGGTTTAGCCGGAGTTTACTGTAGTTAAAAACAGAAGAAGTCCAGTCACCAGCAGTTTTATACGATACCTTGGCTGGTAGCACATGATATTTTGGCTGGTAACCATGACATTGGTCCTGATTTCATGGCAAAGCCCATATTTAGCTCTGTCGCAAAATTCCATTGAATGGATTTTCTCCTGCAAATTATAGAACAAAAGTCAATTTGAAATGAGAAAAAAAACACCATCCAGTCTTGAAAATAATTATGTTGTTTTCTGAAAAACTTAGAAATATCAGGATCCTAATTCAACATTTGAAACTTAGTAATCGTAATTCTGTTTTGTTGTTGTGGGACCATTCTATTTTCCCTTGGCTTCGCCTTGGGAAAATAGAATGTCCATGGATCACCTCGGGAGGCTAGTTTTAACACCACTCGAAGCATTCAATATTTGTATACCATCACAAGTCTGGTCACAAGTAACAGGGGATGAAAACAATACAAAGAATGAATGCCTTTGTCAAATCTCATATGAGTAGCTGGTGACTTGACTTGATACTGGATGACGTGTGACAGGCTTGTTGGGGACTTGTGATGGTATACAAATATTGAATGCTTCGAGTGGTGTAGTAAAACTAGCCTCCCGAGGTGATCCATGGACATTCTATTTTACCAAGGCGAAGCAGAGGGAAAATAGAATGCCATGGATCATCAAGGGAGGCTAGTTTTACACACCACTCGAAGCATTCAATATTGGTATAACCATCACAAGTCCCAACAAGCCTGTTTTACACGTTCATCCAGTATCAAGTCAAGTCACCAGCTAAATCATATGAGATTTGACAAAGGCATTCATTCTTTGTTATTGTATCCCCTGTTACTTGTGACCAGACTTGTGATGGTATAAAATATTGAATGCTTCGAACAGTGGTGAGTAAAACTAGCCTCCAGAGGTGATCCATTGACATTCTATTTCCCAAGGCGAGCCAAGGGAAAATAGAATGGTCCACAACACACAAAAACAGAATTACGATTAACTAGTTTCAAATGTTGATAGGATCCTGATATTTCTAGTTGTCAAAGAAAACAACATAATTATTTTCAAGACTGGATGGTGTTTTTTTTTCTCATTTCAAAATGACTTTTGTTCTATAATTTGCGGGAGAAAAAATCCATTCAATGGATTGCGACAGAGCTAAAATATGGGCTTTGCCATGAAATCAGGGACCAATGTCATGGTTACCAGCCAAAAATCATGTGCTACCAGCCAAGGTATCGTATACAAACTGCTGGTGATGACTTCTTCTGTTTTAACTACAGTAAACTCCGGCTAAACCGACATCGTACACTCGTCAAACACTCAAGTCGGCCGTTCTGACTAAAGTCCCGATTGTCCGTAATGCATTTTCATTGAACTTTTTATTTCTAAGTCGCCATTTTGCTCAAGTCGTCATGTTACTCTCGGTCCCCTTTCACAAAAAAGCATTACAAAATCCTTTGTGTAAGTCGGCATTCAACATATCAGCATTGGCATCGACTTCCTGTACTGCGGTTGGAAAGTGTCGAGTGAAAAAGTGGTTCGCACGGCCTGTGATCGCTGCATGCATCAGTGTCGAAAAAAAGGGTGTCCTACTGCATACCACTACGCGGCGCTATAGGATTTTGCTGCATACATCGTAATATGCATCGTGAGCATATCATGAATACCAGTACCCCCTCTAGGCTGTACGCATGCGCTCTGTCCATTTTGGGGGTCGTCTTATTGTATGATTATAGAGTCAATGCGTGCATGGTAATACCGGACCACGCACACATTTAATTCGCTACTGTGCACGTACATATGTATCGTGGCCTCCACTCAATACCCAAACGTGGTGATACAATTCGAGGATTAATTTGCTGGATTCAACTCAAACATTAAGGAGATAATCCAGGATAAATCGAAGCCAATTAGTGCAATGAATCATGTGCGCAAAGACCATTCATGGAAGTCGGCAAAATGACGACTTATAGCATATATCGGCATTCACGTAAGTCGTCACAAATTCTCGAGTCCCGAGAGTGCCGTTTAGCCGGAGTTTACTGTAATAGCATGCTGACTTACTTGTGGTGAATGTCCGTCCAGCTATGATGGCCTTGCACGGAATGCTGAAGATGACCTCCCTGCTGGTTTCTCTGACGAGAGTGAAGAGCTCCGGAGAAACGGCGCAGATGCACTCACGGGGTCTGACAGACTGAAACTCATCCACCTTAGATGTACACGGGAAGAAGTCAGGGAGAAAGACATAAGTTAGCACAGCTCAGGCCAGTTCAAAAATTAAGCCGCATCCAAATCTCAAATCTCGGGCAATTGTCTTGGTCTCGTCTATTACAACTACGTGGGAACAAGCCCACTATAGACTGGAAGCCTGTTTCGGACACGGCCATAGTATTGTTGTCTCCGGCTACTGCTACTTTCCTGGGCGGACCAATGGCAGAAAACAAAGTCACAGTCCGAAAACTACAGATTTTGAACAGCCTGGGAAGAAGTGGGATACAGACATGAGTTGGGTTGCTATGTCTAACAGACTAAATTTATCCACCTTACATGGGGAAAGGTCAGGGAGCAAGACGTGAGTTGGGCAGCTCACGTACATTGGTGTCCTCCATAATTTGCCTTGGTGCTCTCGATCATTTGCCTTGGTGCAATTTCCCATTCCTTGGTGCTCTTTGGTAAAAAAAATTGAGGAGGTGCGGCAATAGGGCGCTGTTGGAGCTACCGCAGAACATTTTGGAAAAAAAAAGATTGACGGCATGATTAAAATTAACGTGCGTGCTGACCAGAGACCGACTTATTTTGTTTTTTGAGAAAGACTTGAGAAATTCCACACGGGTAGGACACATGCTTGTAAACAGGGGGAAAGTCATTAACAATTGAACATGCAACAACTGCTTGTCAATTATCACATAATCAAATACGGTCAATATGAACTTTTGTGGAAACTAGAGATTCAAAGAGTTTCATCTCGTTAAACTTTTGTCTTTATGATGGGAATTACTGAGCATCCATATTTAGAAACAATAATAACCAACGAATTTCAAAAACAAGCAGAATTTGGAGGTAAGAGTACTAGGCAGTGAAACAAATGAAAGGGTCTGTGTGAACAAAATCCAAACAGATTTGCACACATTTGCAATGACAAAGGTCTCAACAATTATACTTTTTTTGTGATGAATTTTTGTGAAGTAAACACCTACTGTTGGTGAGCTTTCTTAAATATGTATTTAATTTTTTTTAAACATGTAGCTTTTGAGATGAGTTCACGTTCACTGCAACCAAAATGAATTTTTACAGAAATTTGCCGCAATGCAAATGGTTTTGAAACAAATACAATGAATATCACAGGTACACGTTAAGTACCAGAACGAGATAAATTCATCGTTCATTTGTACTGTTTCAACAAAAATTTCTGGGGGTATGGCAGTTAAAATTGCTCTCTTTGTGCACACTATTTTACAGCTTCATCCCGAAAAAATATTTTATATTTTTTAAGTTGCTATCTTTCTTGCAGTACAAAAGCTATTTACTTTTGACCGAGACATCAAACAAAAATACCTTCCCACGTTTAGGTATGGGGTATTTTCTTTACAAATTTTGAATTATGTGTGGCTCTTCAATAATTCAGACATGTCTTTTTCCGCATTATGAGCGCAAAAGCAACCCAAAATAACAGGGCTGAAAATGTCAATAATACCTCGTTTTTTGTTTTTTTTATCCACCCTGTATGGTGAAAAGCACAAACAGAGATACCGGTACCTCATGTTGTCAGGACACAAGCTTGATCGGATCTCAGACGAATTTGTGTTCGTGCGTGAGTCACGTGATCGTGTCATGTAATTTTTAGAAGGAGCAGTGTTTTGAGTGACCCCTTGATGACCTTTGACCCCAGTTTGGTCATGTGACAAGTTGGGGCTGGGCTACCGATACTTTTGACAAAGTCTGGTTGAAATCGGTCAAAATATGTAGGAGCAATAGACAATGTCAACATTTGTTACTAACTAATGGACTAACGGAGAGACATGATGATTTGTTGGGATGCTATCCTGCAGCTCAAAAATTACAACATCAAAATAAGTCAACACAAAAACTGAGGGGAAATTATGATATTTGAACAGAATTGTACAAATTGAACTTAAAAGAAAACATACATTAAAAAAAAAGGAAAATTTAAATCAGATTTCTGAGAGACTATACAATAAAAAAAAATCATTGGTGTTTTAGCCGCTCAAGATAAGTACGGTATGATTGTAAAATTAGAACTCAAAATGGTGCAAATAACTGAAGCAAAACTCAGGCATTTACACGTAGCGATCGCAACGTCTGTTGTTTTATGCAGAAAACTCCGTATATATGAGGAACCATTTCCATTGGATGAAATTTGTATCAGGGAAATATGTAAATTCCAAATTTGGTTTTACCCTTCACTTAAATAATTCATAAGACCACCAACATGCTAAAAAAAAACACCTTCAATATGCCAAAAATATAAATACAAAAATAAAAATATACAATTGTGAGTATTGAAATCAAGGTGAAAATGAAAAAATCGTATCTCGGACATGACTTTAAACTGTGACAATCAACCGAATTCCAATCTCTAAACAAATATTTTCAAGCATATGTAAAACAAACACAAATGCTGGGGTGTGGGCGTGTATGTTTTTGTTTGCGTTGTTTTTAACACACCCAGTTTCACATGTGTCGTGAAGCATGCTACCGTTCCATGCAACAAACAGAACAGCAAGGGAAGAGGGGGTGCGATAAACCACCACACAAAATGAAATTTTTTTGGAATATTTTTTTTTTCTTTTTCGTGTCACCTTATCGTCCTGGTCAGTCCAGATGGGGGACCAAAGATAGACCTGCGAGGAGGAAAGGAGGCCAGAGGCAGAAGAGCAAAACGGGATGAGTTTAAGAAGTTGAGAAGTTTTAACCGATTGGAAACAGTCACTTGAACGCTTTGGAGAGGAAGGTTTTCAAATTGTTGAAATTTCAAATTGGACTTTCTCACTCAGTTGTTTTTCATGTACTTGCAGGAGAACAATCAGAACTTCATATTGATATACCACTAATTTTCAATTAGGTTGTGTCCTTAACCGACGTATAAACACTTTATACTCAGTGTGTTACCTCCCGAGTGAGAGTTGGAAAAAATCACTCGGGTGGGACTCGAACCCACGACTTCCTGCTTTCTAGTGCAGATGTCTTACCACTCGACCACCAAGCTAACAGGATCGGTTGGCTGGTTCAAATCTGATATACATATAGCAGCGGGTACCGCACAAACTATTCATAAGATGGATTTTTTTTTTTTTTTCGTCGGGGTGATGTAAATCAAATTAGGTTTTGCCCTTCACCGACATATAAACACTTTATACTCAGAGTGTTATCTCCCGAGTGAAAGTTGGAAAAAAATCACTCGGGTGGGACTCGAACCCACGACCTCCTGCTTTCTAGTGCAGATGTCTTACCACTCGACCACCGAGCTAACGGGATCGGTTGGCTGGTTCGAATCTGATGTACATATAGCAGCGGGTACCGCATAAACTATTCATAAGATGGATGATTTTTTTTGGCGTCGGGGTGATGTAAATCAAATTAGGTTTTGCCCTAATACAGATTATGTTTTGCCCTAATACAGCCCTTTTTACATCAGATTCGAACCAGCCAACCGATCCCGTTAGCTTGGTGGTCGAGTGGTAAGACATCTGCACTAGAAAGCAGGAGGTCGTGGGTTCGAGTCCCACCCGAGTGATTTTTTTCACTCGGGAGGTAACACACTGAGTATGCAGTGTTTATACGTCGGTAAAGGGCAAAACCTAATTTGATTTACATCGCCCCGACGCAAAAAAAATCCATCTTATGACCACTAATTTTGATATCCTGATGAATTTGGACTTTATGTGGCTGAAAATATGGACAATGGCCAAAAACTTGGAAACTTTGGCGAAAACTTCGAAGTGCTGAAAACAGCGTGATTTCATTTTTCTATGAGCAAAAATTTGCCGTTTATGAGCATTATCATGCACATTCATCATCCTGTAAGACAAAAACAAAATTACAATATTGAGAACACACTCTCCAATTAAAACCTCACCTCAACTCGCCACACGAGGGCCCCCTTGCAATGGACATCGGGCGCCGGGTTCGGGCACGTCTTCTCTTTCTTCTTGTGGGACAGGATGAATTTGCTGGACTTTGCCCCGGACTCCACGGTGGCCGTTGTCACGCTGTTCTCGGCCAGGTCCTTCAGGTATTCGCATTTCGTCCTGGTCGCCATGGCGATGAACTTCTCAGATTTGTGGACGACGTTCTCTGCATTTATGACTAAAAATGGGGAAAACACAAAAAATCAGTCACAGGGTTTTTGACAATTCACTTACATGTTCCCTTAAATTGCAACATCTGTTCAACTATTCCTTTCAAGTTGATTATAAAATTTCAACTTCAAGTATTTTAGTACATCATCCCAAATTGACTCCAAAATGTAATAAATTGAATATAATCAAGGCAACATTGTTGAAGTTTTCCTGTTTTTTGCAAATCATTGCTCTTCGGCTAAGATTTTAATTTAAAGTCTAGGAATATTTCACTTTATATTATATTTCAAAAGGATTAATAAACATCTAAACAAAATTAACATTTTTGTCAGAAAGTAGGTAAATATTGAACGAAATAAGAGCAACATTATACACAACTGTTTTCGTGCATTTCTGTTTTTAACTCTTTCAGTGCCAAAGTCGTACATGTACGAGGTATATTTGTTAGTTTGAAATTGCCAACCACGTGCATGTACGAGGTAATGTTGGTACTTAAAATCGAGTAAGCATGTTATCACAAGGGGGCACTCTCGCTCTTTCTAATAATATTATTTTCATTCAGGTACGACCTGTATTTATTTGTTTCATTGAGTTCTTGCGAGAGGGCGCAGCACTGACACTCATATTTTCTGCAAAAAGTGCGGAATTCCCCCTGTGTGCAGGACAGTGTTTCAGGGTGTATCACTATGTATGCGACTACTATTGACTTTCCAATGTACGAAGGATATACCAGAGAGCAACAACAACAAATTTAGTGAGTAAAACTTATTTACTTTTTTTTTTACAGAATTTTGAACAATTAAGAAAAACGCTCGAAGTTGGGCACTTTAGGGTTAAACTTTTCAAATTTCGCGGGCACTGAAAGATTTCACTTGACTGTACTTACGTTTGGCAAGGAGGAATTCAGTGAAGGTTGGTCCTTTGGGGAATGTCGCGTTAGTGGGGAGTGGAGGACCAAATGCTGCTACATCCTTGGATCTCGTCACGGCAACACTGCAAATCAAAACAAAGAAAATCAAAAGGTGATGTCAAGTGCAATGGTATACAAATATTGAGTGGCTCAGCGTGGAATGGGAGGAATATTATCGCAAGGTAAAATCTGGACTTTCCCTTTTAAGAGGCGAAGCCGAGTGAACTGGAAAAGTCCAGATTTTACCAAGCGATAATATTCCTCCCATTTCACAATTTAAAGCCACTCAATATTTGTTTTATGTAACTGACATAAAGATCCTTGTCATTTGATGTATTTGAAATAAAGATCCAGAATATTGTGTTTTCTCAAAATATACAGCACTCACAGAGCTAACGCTTCATCGGGTTAGTTGTTAAAACACCCGTCTTTAGTTTTGAGCACTTTTGTTGCTACAAACCAAAGAAGTGTAGCAATGTTTAATGGTCTGCTCTTCCCGCTACCTTTAAAGGGAATGTACAACATTTGCTTTTGCTGGAATTTTCAGAAACAAATGGATTTGGAGGATCAGTATGTTAGAGAAAATATTGTTAAACTGACTTGTTTCACGTTTTGGGCTTGTAGATGCTGGAAAAACCATGAAAACCTATCATGTTCTTGTAGTCTGGTTCCCTGACCCCACTTAAGATGAAACGGAGCAATTAATTCACTTTGGGGAATAGTAAGGTCAGAGAATCAGTCTAGCAGGCTTGTACCCCTTCATAGGTGTGTAATCAATTGCAAAGACAAGTCAGAATAACTAAATATGAAAAATTAGGAACAGTTGTTGGGGAAAAAGCCAGTTTTCTCCAATGCTGGTCGGCCGACCAGCGTTGGAAAAATACAGTTTTTCTTCAAAATGTCAGCACAGCAGGAGCCACGCTTTAGAATGTCAGTCCCTAACAATTCAGTAAGGTATTTCGTGATAATTTGATCATTTCGTTTTTTTTTTTTTGCAAATGTTGTATCTTCCCTTTAAAGTCATATAAAATGAAACATACTGACAGCAAGTGAAAGCAAAATAAACAAATTTGAGAGACGTTCAAACCGCAGAAGAAACCTAATACAAGGAAATGGAAACCGAGACTCACGAATAGAACACATTGTCCGTGTTGGGGTCAATGGCCCGCACGACCACAAACACGTGCTGGAACTGGGAGCGTATCGTCTTGGGCGTGAACGGCTCGGCGCCGGGCTCCTGAAACACGATGGTGACAATGTCGTTGCCGATGTGCCTCTTGCGCAGCAACTGCTGCCGGTTGTTGGCGGTGAACGGCAGCAGCGTGGACACGTGGAACATGATCTCGTGGCCTTGGTATGTAGCGTACACTGAGTGGGTACCAGTGGAGTCGGCTGAAAAAACATTTTTGATTTTTTTTTTGAAAATGTATCTAATTTGAAAAAAGAAATCAATTTGTTTTGTAATATACATACACACAAAGTTTGTTAATGGTCTGCCCTTCCCCTTATTTTTATAGCTTACTTTTCTACAATTTTTCTCCAAAAATCTCTGATTTGTACATTATTTTCATTACTGGCTGTCTGCTCAAGTGCCGTTACCCTTTTTGTGACCTTTTTTCGAACACATTTCGAGCAACAAGCACGCGTGTTTGGAAAATTTTCAATACTGCGCAATGCGTGATTGATTGCGTAAAATATGCATTTGCAGTTCTCCTACAGAGATGGACGTCATTGAGCGAGCCCTATAGGGCCATCGCAGATTTGTCCTTGAAAAAAATATAGGTGGAATAACAAGCATTTTCAAAATTTTCAAAATGTCTGCCATTGCTTGCTATTCTATGTGACCCATATTTTTTTCAAAGGACAAATCTGTGATGGCCCTGTAGCCAAATATCTTCCACATGACATACTCTGACTGTGTGCCAAATGCCATGCTTGTATCATCAAAGGCACAATCCCATCACCTATCTGCCGTAATAAGCCAAAATTCCACACAAAACTCGTGTAAGTATTGGACTGTGTGTGCAAGTTGCAAGTTACACTAAAAGTAGGTTAACAATGCTAACTTTTGCCAATATCAAAGAACAATTTCTCACTGAACGTGCTCAAAAAGGTTGTGATCATTGGCAACATTCATGTAAGTGGAGTTTCCCTTCTAGGTTTTCCTAGAATTGGTCTCACTTCACAGGAACAGCACAGGGATTTGGCAATGAATGCGGAAAAGGGCAACTTTAACCATCAACACAAACTCCCTCAAATAATTCTGTACAATTGCTTCACTGAAACACAGCTCAGGACATGGGGAGGATATGCAGCCACTCAGCGAACCACTTCCCTTGTTGTTCCAACAGATATCCTGTCAATGACAGATGGTTCACTCTCTCTGCAACTAGCCAGACGCACCGCGCACGGAACACTTATCACACCATACGCAATCTTACTTTTATTGTCCAGCTGAGCCCTGTACTTGTCAAACCCTTTCAGTCTGATCCGTTCCCCGATACACTCTAGAAACTCATCGAAGGCTGGTGTGGAATGCTCTGTAAAGGAACAAAAAAATGAATAATTTATTGGCATAATTATGTATAACAAATATTCACAATCTTTCTTTAACCGCATTAGTTATTAATTTTGTTGATATGTGAACACAACTGTTATACCCAAAGTGGCCATACATAATCAGCTTTTCATTTGTTGTTGTTGAAAGAACAGTATATCATTTGCAGCTATCCAAAAAGTAACTGACAACATTATTGTTGATAAACTTACTTGGTTTAAAGATAGTAACAGCACTAAACTCCCTGTGAAATTATTCTTTCTGGCATGCTGTCATGTTGAAGTAAACAATAAAAGAAGGCCATTTCCAAATATGCGTCAAGTGACGCATTTTTGGAAATTTCCGTTAGTAGTTGGTTTGAAATTTGGCAAATCCATGAAAGGACGCGCGCAAGCATTGACATGACGCACACATGCGCGAGGTTGCTCTTATGCGTCAGTTTAGTGCGTGACATCGCAGAGCTCCAATTGACTGAATGAAAGCGTACCGTATCCCATAGCCGATTTTGAGCGCAATTCAAAATATGACACTGCATCATTTGAATTAAAAATCGAGATCTCAGAATATTTTGCTCTCAGAATGTACAGCATTCACATAGTTAAAATTTCATCAGGTTAGTAAGACCAAAAAAAAAAAAATAGTCGGTCTCTGGTCAGACCAAAGTTCCGGAATTGATACGGCGACGCAGGTTTTTTTTTTTTTTTTTTTTTTTGCTTTTTTTTTTCAAGCTTGGATGTAGAGACAAGGTGGGTACTATTTTTGCTTTTTTGTGTCCTCATATACATTGGTGTCCTCCATAATTTGCCATGGTGCCCTCCATCATTTGCCTTGGTGCAATTTCCCCATTCCTTGGTACAAAAATTTGAGGAGGTGCTGCAATAGAGGGTAGCTGTTGTAGCTACCGCGGACAATTTGAAGAAAAAAAAGGTTGACACGCATGATTAAAATTGACGCGCACTGGCCAGAGACCGACTATTTGTTTTTTTGGCCTAAGCAACAGTCTTTACATTTTTTAGCACATGTGTTGCTTCAAACGGAAAAAATGCACAAATGACAAATGATATGCATGTACCGGTACATGTACCCTATCTTTAACTTTTAATGTAATGTTTACACAACTTTTGAGAAACGCATGAAAAGTTGAAGGTTTTTAAAATCGGATCCAATCCATATCAGCTACTGAGCTTTCAAAACAGCAAAATACAGGTGCCAGTTTGCACGACAATTTCAAAAGTCAAACGTCAGCAAAATATATCCTCATGTACAATATGCTTCGGGCATACGTGTAGAGGACTGAGAAAAAAACACAGTCTCTAAAGGGTAACCTTTATTCAATTTCAACTCTGGAATTTGTTGAAATAGGTTGTAAAGAATGCAGATAAGCAATTCTCAGAAAACATGAAAAAGTTTCGGTCATGATGGAAAAGGCAATCCTAGAAGAATTCTTTTGGCAGTGTCTTGACAAAATCTAAAATATATCAAGAGTAGAATTTCATCACGTGTAGCATTTAGTGATTTCAACAGAAACTAACTAAATAATATATTTAGTAAAACTATTTTGCCACAGGAATTAAATAAACAAGTCCAACTCAAGCCACATATAAAGATTGGCAAAAATTTGTTTTCCTCAAATTCTTAACTAGATTTGCATGTATGTCTAATATATTTCATATTTTAATAAGACATACTTTCTTCGCATGCCAAATTAAATAATAATAATAATAATAAATTAAGGAATTTCCATTAATTTCGTCTGAACTTCCACTGATTTTGGAAATCAATGGTCTCCAAAATTTCATACTAAAAAAATGAAATATTCAATTAGTTGCACACAAAACTTTTGCAGTGGTGTTCAACACCAGCTAAACACAAGACAATCTTGTCTCTGCTTTTTTTTCCGTAATTGTTTTTCTTCTAAAAATCATTTAGGCTTCTTCAAGTGACTTACCGTTATTATACATCTCCTCTTCGGTGTTCTGTCCTGTTCTGCATAACATGATGCCCACCTTGTATTTTGTGCTTACCTATGTTTAAAAACAAATTGTGAAAATAGGTTATTCTACTTGTGAGAAAAAAATTGTGAAATGTACATGTAAGTTTGTCCTAACTTTTAAAGGCACTTTTGGGAGGAACCTTCCTTAACCCCAACCTTCCCAAATCCTCCAAATTCCTCCATGCAAAATGGAGGATTTTGTAGGATTGAGGCTACACGGCAAAAAAGGTCTGGCTGATTTTGCAGGATGCACTGTGTCAAGGTCTTGGGCCGGACCTTGTGTTGTTTATGCTCAGCCGTGCCTACACTTAGGCTTAGATTAAACTTGAAATCCTCTGCACTGCTCCAGGATGTCACTGGCTCTGCCTCAACATATTGACAATGATTGCCGGAGAATTTTGCAGGATTGAGGCATGGTCACCCCTCCAAGGACCACATTCAAGAAATAACGGAGGATTTTGTATGGTTGAGGCTGTTACAATTTTTACACGGAGACAGTTCGATGATTTTGCAGGACTGAGGTTGCATCCTAGCAAAATATGTCTAGGGAGTTGGGGTAAACCTTCCAAATCCATCCCAGTGCAGTAAACCAATGGGGAATTCTTTGTACTTCCCATGCAAGGAAATGCAACTGAAAATCAACTTGTTCAAGCAGATTTTGTTTCCTGCCATGTTTTTTCATGCACAATGTTTAGTATGTTGTGGATGGTTGATCATGCACTGCATGAACAGACACACATGTATGCTTGGCTAGCCACACATGTTGCCAGACTCAGAAAAAAAACACTTAAAGCTATAGTCCATCATTTGTAATTAGTGCATTTTGTTCGTTTGAAGCAACAAAAGAGTTCAAAATCTAATGAAGGATACTGAGCAACTAACCTGATGAAGTTTCAGCTAAGCTTCAGCTGTACATTCCGAGAAAAGCAGCATTCTAAGATCTCAATTTCAAATCAAAAGTTACTGAATCATGTTTTGAATTGTTTTGAATTGCAGCTATACGCGGTGTCGCGCACTGATCCGACGAATCATAACAACCGCGCGCGCGTGTGCGTCGTTCCAATACTTGTGCGCGCTGCGCTGAATAACAAAACGAACTACTAATTTAAATTTTCCTACGGTGCTTCTTAAGAATCACCGTTGGAAATGCCTTCTTTCGTTGATTACTTCAAAATGACAGCTTCCCAGAAGGAATAATTTCACAGGGAGTTTAGTTCCCTTACTATCTTTCAACCAAGTTTGTTTTTCAACAGTAATTACGCCAGTTACTTTTCGGATGGCTGCAAATGATGGACTATAGCTTTAATGCAAGATTTTCTTACAGGTCCCACGATAGACTATCCATCTGTTTTGCGGACCTGGCCAATAAATAGAACATTTCACATGAATAGTTCATAGAATTTTCTGATAAAATTGTATCTTAACTGACTTCCCCAATCTTCCAATCTGCATTTTTGCGTGTGTGTCCAAGTTATGATTCAAAGGCAAATATTTCAGGAACTTACAGGTATTGTACAGTATATGCCTATAGCAAACATTACACCATTCTTCACGTACTTTGTCAAGCATGTAATCGCTTCCAACAAACCAAATGTAACTTTGTCCTGCATCTCTGTAAACAGATTTGTTTTTTTGTCCTGGGTGATTTTCTGCAAAAGATATATGGCCAATTGGTGTACCCGCAAACCTATTTCTGTTACATGTAAAGAAAGGGGAAAAACACAATCTCCAATCCAACTCAATTTGTAAATTGTATTTTTTTAGTATCACAATCAGATTTTACCAATTTTGGTTTAAACCCTAACCCCACCTATAGCTACAAAATACTACTAGAAGTAAATTGTAGTATGCAGTACTTCAGCATATACAGCCTGTCTACAAAAAAATGGTACAATCGAACACGATTTTTTTTTCAATATTAAATCTCAACAGAAGTAAGTCGTTTTGAGCATCACATTAAAGAAAAAAAGACCAGGCTTTCCAATACTTTTTGTTTCATCTCATTTGCTTTTGTCAATCCAGAGATAACTCCAGTTTACTGCGGAACACAAAAATCGAGTTTGTTTCTTTTGCCAAGTTGCAATCTTTTGTGAGCTTCAAGACAGCATGGCACAGTACTCGAAACAACTCTGCCCATGCATAAAAGTGGCACAAAACCGATTTTGGTGTATCGCACTAAATTGATTATATCTCTGAATTGACAAAAGCAAATAAGATCAAACAAACACTATTGGAAAGCCCAGTCTTTGTTCTTTAATATTATGCCAAATAAGAATGACTTATTTTGAAATTTCATATTTAACCAATTTTTTTCTGATTGTACCATTTTTTTGGGGACAGGCTGTACATATAAGTGGGCACAGCACTCATAGGTTTTTTGGTATTTGGTACCTGCCTACTTAATTAGTGTAGTATTCTGTAGTACTCAGTTCTTTATCCCAAAGTACCGGTAATGGCTAGGACGTTAGGGTTAAAGTAGGACCCTTTTAGCAGCCATGATGTTATGATATATATATTTTTGCCGACCATGAAACCATTTGGCTCAAAGTTGTTCGATGGTGGCTGTGAAAGATTCATGCACTCATGCACCACTAACCAAATGGGAAAAAGTAACAGGGTAAAAAATTATGATATGAAAGTTTTGAGGGGTAAAGTACTGGTTTTGCAGGTGAAGTGCTGTTTTGCAAGCAAACACTGTACAATGTATTTTTTTTTTAAATCAGTCAATTTCTTTGTTCTACTTTGGAAATGATTATACAAGCACTAAGGCAGTTTCCCTAAGTGCTTTATTTGAAAATTTGTAGTAAAAAGCCAAATCCTCTTTGAGTGATCCCCGTTTGCTATTTCCTAGGTTTGCAACATTTTTGCTAACATTGTGACTTTGGGTATGATCCCTGACTACACGACATATACCTGAAGGTTTATTGTCTTCCGACTAGCACCCCTGGACAAAAGACATTGACAAAATGAGGAACTGCCAACATGTAGGCTGGACAGCTCAGTTGGTAGAGCACCAGAACGGCAATCCGAAGGTCGCAGGTTCAAACCCCGCTCTTGGTCCACTTTGAGAATTATTTATAAAAGTACTTTGTCAGTTTTCCTTATCCCTAACTCCCTAGGCCTTTTTGCTAGGATGTAGCCTCAATCCTGCAAAATCCTCCAATTGGCCTCATGGAAAAATAGCATATACATGTAGCCTCAATCCTGCAAATTCCTCCATTGTTTCTTGACTATGGTCAGTGGAGAGGTGACCACTGCCTGAATCCTGCAAAATCCTCCGGCTATGACTGTCAATAGGCTGAGGCAGAGGCATTGACATCCTGGAGCAGTACGGAGGATGTCAAGTATAATCAAGGGCTAAATTTATGCACGGCTGAACATAAACAACACAAGGTCCGGCCCAAGAGCTTGACACAGTGCGTCCTCCGAAATCAGCAACGCACTTTTGCCATGTTACCTCAATCCTGCAAATTCCTCCAATTTGCAAAAAGGATTTCGGAGGATTTGGCATGGTTAGGGCTATTAGTAGTTTATTTGAACATTTGAAGAAACAAATTAGAACAATAACAACTGAAGAAAAAAAAAAACCACCAACAAAAAAAGAGCAAATTTTTTCAACAAACCCCTTGCTCGTCGAGTTTGAGTAGCTGCTCCGTGACCTTAGCGGAGGCGAGGGCCAGCCTGAGGCAAGCCAGGGGTAGATCAGGGACCACGTACTCCAGGACGTCCTTGAGGGGTAAGCCCTTGGGGGAATTGTGCTTGGCCGTGGACGGGATGGAATCCTCAGCGATGACACCACGCAGGGTGACCAGCTGCAACGGGGGAAGAAGAAGATGACATAATCTTATAAAGAGGATGTATCTTTGTGGACTGCGCAAAGGAATCGGGAATACACTTATTGTGATTGATAAAAAGATACGTCTTGCAGACGAGTTTTGGATTGCCTGAACCGTATGCAGTCTTGTACAAATGCAAACAAATACTGGGTAAATTGGTGTACTGTGTAATGTGATCTACCCACAGACATATAAACACATAAGACCGCCAGGTCCTATTCGAAACTACACGCGCATTTCGTGATTTCGCGGTGCCCGACTAAAATCCAAACTATGGGCGAATTCATCTCTCGGTATAGGGATTTTACACACACCCATACTATTCCCTCAACGGTTACAAAGAGAGAGTTGGGGAAGACCACTGGGAGGGACATTCGTACGCATTGCCGATGACGCCTGACGCTCACGCAAAGACACGATGGCTTTGTGCACAGTCAAAATAAAATAAGTTGTGCGTACTCAGCGCCATACGCATGCGAACCACTCCCCATATTTCAGGGCCTAAGGTACATATACATGTATTTCATAATAATTTGGTAGTTCTGTTTTTTTTTATGTTTGCAAATGTTGTATATATATTCCCTTTAAGTAATGCACTGGAAGAAAAAACATGCAAACAAAAAAAGGGAAACAAAAAATATCAATGTTCAAATTTCGATAACTACAGGTATATTACAGGGAACTAAACGTGATGTGTGCTTCATAAGAACTGCTTACTGTTACTATTATTACAGGAGGAGAGCTCACATAACATGTATGCATGTACATGTAGGTTCACAGGTTAGATAGGAATTGTGGCGTTGATCCCATATGGTGTAACCTAAAGATTCTCTGATTTCTGAGATAAGACTGAGATCATTTCTGTGCTATTATTAGTGCAGAAGTACAGCAGTTTCTCTGTAAGCCAAGCCTGGAAAGTGGGCACAGATGTTTCCTGAATTACTCCCTTTTTGATATAGTATTTCGGTCATTCCGGTCATGAGAACAAAGACGAGGAATGATAGACGAACCAGATGACTGGAAGGGAGAGAAAAAAAATGTAACCAGAGCAGGAAGTAAGGACAGGACAGGATGCCATGAGCAGTATTTGGATTCCAGAAATGTTAAAGGCTGGGCAACAACAATGGTCAACTCTCACTTCCTCAGTACACAGACATTTACATACGTACACTTCTTGGAGGCTTATAATGTACAAATAATACATGTACTTCATGGAAATATGTAATTACCAATTCATAAATACTTAAGACAGTTTACCCATTCCTATTGGTTGAGAGCTCGTCATGGGGTGGTTTTCAAAGGTTGGTAAAACACCGGCTGGCTGGTTTTAAACACTTTTCCGGTGTCACTTGAAACTTGGACTCCTTTGAAATCTGGTACCTTTTATCCTTTTATTGGATGAATGTTCACTATCTTCACTTAGGCATGCGCAATACTACCATTACCAATGAGTCCGTATATTGAGAGTCCTAATGTCACACTACACCAGTGTTCTAAGCCACATCGCGCAGTACACGCAATTGGACATTTATAATTTTTGACTTGTTTTGACTTTTTGACTCAAAAGTATTGGGAATAAATATGCGCTTGGCTGGGTTGTTTAAGACCGGCTAAGGGGCCTGGACGCCCATAATGTCCTCGCCTTTGGCTCGGGCCATTATCAGTGTCCTGTCCCCTGAGCCGATCTTAAACGTACTTGTGTAAAACCGGCCAGGCACATGTACCGGGGTATTAATTCCCTTATCAAAACATCACATACTTATCCTCGGTCATACTAATAAGCGTCAACACAGCGTCAACACAGCGTCAACACAACGTCAACACCTCCAAAATGCATTCAAATTGACAAAACCAGTGTTTCAACCGTAAAGTATGGGCAAAAATAAAATGTTGGCTCAAAATCAATAGATAAAACGTCTGAAAATTGCAATGTTCAGTTTAAGAAAATTGGCCCTCAGTGCAGCTCCGAAATGAGCCGCCATGTTGCTTCAGGGGCAGCGTGGACGATACCATTATGCAAAAGGGGTGATGCCTTTATACAATAAATCAACAGAGGGCGGTTGTTACATGTGAATCCGCATACAACGTGATAATTTCGTTACCTGGACACCTATATCTGAAATGGTGTAGTCCAAGCTCCGTGCGAAGGCAAGATGGCGGACAACGGCATTGCTGCTTAGAGATATTTTGTCGCGTGAAAAAAACCTCCATTTTTGTAAACAAAATGTAACCTCTGACCCACCGAAAATCTCTTTAAGTCTAAACTTTACAGTTCTACATGTATGCCTTTCTTGTCGATTTAGAATGCGTTTTAGGAGTGTTGACGGTGTGTTGACGCTTCTATCATGTGTTGACGTTGTGTTGACGCTGTGTTGACGCTTATTAGTACGACCCCTTATCCTGTACACTGTACATGTACATGATGTGCATGTTTATTATTATTTCAAATAGGGTATGGTGCACATTTTATGTGAAAGCTAAGGTATAGTGTATGGTACAATTTGTACGTTAAAAAGGTGTGGATGTACATGTCCATAACATGTAAATGTTCCTGATTGGTTCTCGGAGGTACATGTATATGTACATACAACATACTGGTATGTAACATGTGTAACTTGTATTTTTTTTATTTAGATAAATGTACCAGTTCCTCATGTGTCATTGTTTTTTTATAGGCCTACAGTTTTCTTTTTCCGGGATCAACCCTAAAACATTGTGTTTCCCTTGACAACAGAACAATAACAAAATTCAATTCCTTGACGACTAGGTCCAAAACAAATCTAGAGTTACATTGTATCTGGAACAAACATGAGTCGACACAAATGATGTCAATCTGTGTTTTTATCAGAACAGAAAGTAAAAGTCATTGGTGACGTGATTAAAAACAACTTACTGCACATTGTGTTTTGCGACTTCCTCTGGTACATGTAAAATGCTTTGCTGTAAATCTTCATTTTCACATGTACATGTACATGTACCGGTACATGTAAGCCCATTCTAAGTTACATACTTAACAGCAGAACACATGTACAGCATACGTGTATGCCGCTATCCAAAAAGTAACTGACAAATTTTCGTTGAAATGCATACTTGGTTTAAAGATGGTAATGGTACTAAACTCGCTGTGAAATTATTCTTTCTGGCAAGCTGTCATTTTGAAGAAACCAATCAAACAAGGCCATTTCCAACGATGTGTCTAAGGACGCTTTTTTGGAAATTTGCGTTAGTAGTTCGCTTTTAATTCGGCAAAGTTGTGAATGAGTGCGTGCAAGTGTTAACACGACGCACACGCGCGCGTTTGCTATTATTCGTCAGTTCAGCGCGTGACATCAGCATAGCGTTGTGAATGGGATCTCGGTTGTGACCGCTACATGATGATGATGATAATCATTTACATTGTGTGGTTTTGTTTGTCAAATGCCACACTTTTGTTGAAAGCCACTTTCGTTCATGATTTGAAAGCTTGCATGAGGAACGTTTGCTCAATTTTCTTCCATAAAATTGATCAAATATCAGTCATTTCACTACCTCTTCTTTACATTATTTTAATATGCTCTTCGTCAATTCACTCTTCAAATACATGAGTCACATAATTTAAAGTATTAAGCCTACGTGTGAAAAATTTTCCTTTAGGTCTCACAGTGGACTTAAATTTATACAATGACCCGACTACAACTACAGCAGGCATTGAACACAAAGACCGATGCGCTATATTTTCTCAATCCCCATGTGAAGATTTTCCTATTGTGGTCTGCCGAGGATTTACAGACAGGACTGAGCATAAATCCTGACCCTGGATAATCTGGAGGATTAAAACAAGTCTGTGAAACAGGTGAATGACTGCGTGGCTAATTGTTGGTTTCCTAACTGGTCAGAGAGGCATGCCGATTATCTGAAACGTTGCGTCTGTTAAAATCACAGTTGGGGTAAAAATAAATCTCATCGTATTTACTCAGTTCTAAAAACACCAACAGATTCATTGCCAGCTGTTTTCTTTGTCTGGCTGAATCTTGGCAAACTTACCAAGAAGTTGGCAAAAAAAAAAAAAAACGCCAAAAAAAAAAAAAAATGAGAATATTTTTTTCTGTATTTGGTTCCTTTTATACTCTTTGGATAAATGCCATACCAGGCATCAGACTTGACAATATTTTAGGGCACGGCCATTTTTGACTTTACAATTTCTACAATGATGCAGTGTGCAAAGGCCCTTTGGTGGTCTTAAGATGGCACCAAGGCCATGTTGTTTTAAAGTCTTTAGTGGTACCAAGGTCTTACGCCGTCTTACGCGCAACCTTGGCTTGATATCCTGTATGGGACTTTACCCTTAAGCATCAACGTAAAAGTAGAAGTACAAGGCAAGTTTGCATCAAAAAGTACATGTGTGTCCTTATCCTTGGTGTTGTACAAACCAGTAGCACTGATGTACAATGTACATGTACATGTAATACACGAGCCACACTTCACACAGCACTGTGGCAAACTACATGTAGCTTGATCAACAAACAAGTTGAAGGCACGCACAGTAGCAACATTTGCAATTATCCCAGGAAATGTACAGTACCTAACAATTGAAAGAGAGAGTAAAAAAAAGTCTGTCCCGAGCCAATGTGGCTCATCAGGCCGGCGTTTATCTCCGGTTTCAGTGACATGAAACGACTGAGAATATTTCCCCCTGGATGGGATGCTAGTCCATCGCAGGTTACTCCCCAGCTAATGCCGGTACCCATTTATACTCCTGGGTGGAGAGGGGCAAGTGGGGGTGAAGTGCCTTGCCCAAGGACACAATATTATGACCAGCGGCTGGATTCGAACCCCGGACCCTCTGATCATGAGTCACAAACCCTAACCACTAGGCCACACACTCCCCTTTTTATTTAAGGAGAGAATCCTTGCTCAAAATGAAGATATGTGTAGGACTGGTACCAGAAAAACTGGTGATTTCAGAAAACGTGCCTTCAACGGCAAGTTCACGCACACTTTTTTCCTGCGTTAGCGACAGAATCCAGTTATGATGTTGCCTCTGTTTTCTCAAAATGTATAGTATCCACCGAGTTGAAACTTCAACAAGTAATAGTTGTTAATGCACCCTTCTTAATCTTTTGAGAAATGATTTTGCTACAAAAAAACAATCACAAAACATAAATGATCCTATGTACCTTTAACTAACGGCCCTTGTTCAAACTTTTTCTTAGAGGCAATGCTAGCTTCAAGATCCTCGAATTCCTAACTCAACCTGTCTCACCTCGCTGGTTCTGATGATGATCCTATACTGGTACTTGGCCGAGGCATCTTTATCTTTACTCTCCATTGCGCCATCTGTATCATCCAGCCTGCTCTCTCTTCGTATACTGACTGCCAGCGGACCATAGTTTTCGTCCAGACCGAAGAAGTTTTGGTGTTCTGTAAAGCAAAGGAGAATTCAGCTCAAAAAGTTAGTATCAACAATCCAGACTACAGGGTGAGTCGAAAAATGAAACCAAAATGGCAGGACCAATTTTGAAAGAAATTTTCCCGGTAGCACTTTCAAAATCTAGGATATGAAAGCCCAACCAATGAGCTTTCTTTTAGTGCAAGAATCATTCAAATCACTCATGTACTTTTCAAGTTACGGAATTTGAACACAAACACTGTTTAAAAGTTCCGTCCACAGATGATTTTTCAACAGATTTAGAGACATTGGGTTCAAGAATAGATACACAGACTTTCTATCATGTCTTCAAAGACAATGTCAATCACAAGTCAGTACAGTCTCCCGTCAAGTCACAAGCTTTTCAAATGAACTTGCTTTGTAATTCTTTAGCCCCAAATGTTCAGCTTGTGACCTGACTTACGATCTGACTTGTGACTCGCTTGTGACTTGCTTGTGACTTGCTTGTGATTGGCTTATAAATGCTTGACCTGTGACTGACATTGTGATATGACTTGTAAACTGACTTACAATCTGTGATGAACTCGTGACTGAATTGTAATTGGCTTGTGACTGGCTTCTGACATGACTCATGATTTGGTCTTCTAAATTGACTTGGGATCAACTTGTGACTTGCTTGTGACTCGCTTGTGACTCGCTTGTGATTGGCTTACAAATGCTTGACCTGTGACTGACATTGTGATATGACTCGTAAACTGATTCACAATCTGCGATGAACTTGTGACTGAATTGTGATTGGCTTGTGACTGGTTTCTGACATGACTCATGATTTGGTCTTCTAAACTGACTTGGGATCGACTCGATTAAAACTGTGCTACATAGAACACAGCAACTCACCAAACCCATAGAAGTACTTCCGGTAGTACATGGCGCCGTGGTCCACAAACTCCACCACGGGGCCCTTCCAGCTCTGACTCCCTGCTCCTCCTCCCCTCCGCTCCATCGGGTCCCCGGCCTCCAGGACGGCTCGGTGCCTCTCCCGGTGCATGGCCCGGGCGTTCAGCATGCCGATCCGCGAGAAGGAGACCCGGGGCTCCACCTCGTTGCCGATCTCGTTGCGGAAGAAGGGGCAGCTGTGGACGATAACATTACCCCGGCCGTCGCCGTCGTCATTCAGCGTCTCCACCTTGAGAAGGTCTTCTATGCTCCCCTTTGATTGGACAGAAGAACAAGATGAATGTTTCGATATTTGAAATTCGGGTGATTCACAATGCAGTGCGCCACCAAGAGTTTGCCATGGAGAGTCCATTTTTCAGGTTTACGCTCGACAAAACATGTCCATTTGAATGAGTGTCAGTAGACAACTTGAGCTAATACATGTACATGTATGTTATAGATTGGAGCATAGCGTTCTGCCGCCTTACAAAAAAACACCATATTGATAAGAAGAAAAGAAAAGGGCAAACATATACTCGAATCATACGCTTACAAAACTACTGACCAGAAACTAACAATTTCAAATGTCTCGCGCTGCAAATTTGTCGACCATCTTCGTGGATGGTCCATTTGAATGAGTGTCAGTAGACAACTTGAGCTAATATGTTATAGATTGGAGCATAGCGTTCTGCCGCCTTACAAAAAAACACCAAATTGATCAGAAGAAAAGAAAAGAGCAAACAGATCCTCGAATCATATGCTTACGAAACTACTGACCAGAAACTAACATTTTCAAATGTCTCGCGCTGCGAATTTGTCGACCATCTTCGTGGCAAACTCTTGGTGGCGCACTGCATTGTGAATCGCCCGAATTGTTTGATTTGACGAATAATGTTCGATTTATCAGTCACAGATTACAAACATTGACTACTTTTTCCTTTGGTATTGACTTGTAATTTTATAAAAATTCTCTTTAAGTATTTCAATGTTGATGTTTTTTTAATGAAGTAATGCGTGTATTTTATTGTACTGTACGCTTGTCAATCATGGCAAGATTGTGACAAGAAAGCGAGGTCAATGTCATACCACTCAACTGCCGTTTCCTGTCATGATTTCTTTTCCCACTTCTGCTTCCCTTATGCCTGATAATCTTATCTGTCACAGATACAATGCACATGTACTTACATGTATGTCTCTAAACAAATAAACATATGCAAATTCATGTCTTCATGGCCAGAATACACTACCTGTATTTTAGCATTATTACTCTTTTTGTTATGAGAACCCAACACATGACAAATTGTATTGAATTCGAACCAATCCAACGTCCATTGAAAATTGAGAGTACATGTACCGGTACATGTATGTACAATCAGAATGTTTTATTATTTTAGCCTAATTTATTTCTTCATCACTTACATGTACATGTAAAACATTTAATAATTGTATAACAATGTTTGATGAAATGTACTTAAATTGGGAAAAGTAATTTTATTTTTGTTAAACAAAGGATTTCTAACAATCATCAGGACACATGTACATGTATGTACCGTACGTACGTACAGTGTTTACTGTACAAGTAAACATGTACATGTACCATAGAGCTATATTAAATTACTAGAGCGCTAACTTCGTGTACAAAGTAATGCCTGCTGGGCGCATCCATGTTTGTGCACAAACCTATGGAGACCTAGAAATTTTGTACGGCTTTTTTACGGCTATTTGCATATCTGCGTTTGTATTCCATACCGGTGTGTTATCGAAGCCAATACGCCCAAAACCAAAAACGCACGATCAGCAAATGAGCGTGTCATTTTGCTCTACGCAAACAGCACAACGCGGGCACGTATTCGCTGCAGATGCTTTTTGCCGTCACGTTTTTTTAACCGTCAATGACGCACTTAAGTTGTTTGTGTATGTTCTACTTGCGCGTTGCATGTAGAGTACACTTTCAAAATTCAATCTATCTTATTTCATTATGTTCTACAAACACGCACATGAATTCAAAATGTCTGCGCCCAGAACGGCTTCAAGGCGTCTCCGCGCGCAGAATGACGAGTTAGCGCTCTAGTAATTTAATATAGCTCTATGACATGTGTACACACAATGAATGCACCTTCAAGTACATAACGGTACATGTACGTACGGTACCAGTACATGTACTAAACTTAAGACAAAGCATTAGATTTCATGTACATTGTAATGTAAGTCTAAGCTGCATTCACATTGGACTTAATTTTGTAAAAAGTTAGAGCAAGTGATTGTTAACATTCCATTGTGGTTATTCTATCGTACGTCCACACTAGGAAAACTATCAGCCTGCTGTAAAGTCATCCGCTGCAGACCGTAAAACTTACAATAGACAGTCAAAATTAACAATTTGGGAATTTTACCAGCTATCCGCACTGGACTTAATTTGGTTATGTTGACAACCCTCTCTGTAAAATTGACAACAGTTGTCATTAGTTTTAACCCAGAAGTCCGAAGCGAACACAACTTTTGATGAGTGAAAAAAAAAAAGTAACAATTTTTTTTCAATCCATCATCAAAACACATCTAACTCTACAAAATGATGTACCTTTTGACACAACATGATGGTACATGTACATTTATGCATGGAATATTTGGTGCGGTTTGGTGCCTACATTGTAATTATGACAAATACGAATGGCCATTTTGGGTTCGCAGAGACTAAGATATATCATCCTGACATTCGAAACTGACAAAGATGCACGAGTTACATTCTTCCGTTCAACTCTCTAAGAGACAGGTCAAATGCAAGCGAAAGAGAGTGTAATATTTCAACAACTTCTTGGCAACATTTTAAACGTCACTTCCAAATCGTGATGAACTTTTCAGCTGCTGGAAATGGAATCTGCAAATACATGGGCTTGGCAAGGCAATAAATTTGTCGCTCTCTGTCAGCTGAGAATGTGCATATCGGTACATGTATCTGTGACTTCCCTCTGATTCAGTAAGGGTATGCAGACAGATGCACATAACTGCTTATTTTCATGGCCTACATGAAGATCTACATTTAACACCGTAAATTGAGTGTAGCGGCTGTGCACAAGACATGTACATTGTGTGCATGCTGTACATGCGTATCAAAAAGGAACTCAGGAACTTTTATTGATGATTAAATGCAGGATTTGCTTTGCAAGGTCTTGTTTCATATTAAACACCAATTCTGAAACCTCTTTTTTGTTGGTGACAGTTACCACTTTCCCCAAAAAGAAGGCACATCTTTAAACTCTGCAAATGAAAATTCGACAATTTCTTTGAAGCACGGCTACTCAGAAGTTCTTCTCAGAAGGCAAGGACAAATGTACCAAAAATGTAATTTTGCGGATAATTCTTACCTCGGGTGTGTTGCTGGCACTGTGTCTGGAGGCAGCCGAGGCACCCGTTGTCGTGTTCCTCTTGCGTCCCGTTATCTTCCTATTCTTGATGACGTCCTGCATGTCAAAGTACGTACTCTGCACGTCATAGTGTTGGAGAGCAAGCTGCCTGGTCCTTTCTTCAATTCTGTCCTCCAAGGTCAGCTCCTCCTCCTCCCCGCCAGTGGCGGCTCGGCCCGTCTTCTCAAGAGCCTCGCCCCGATCACTGCCTTTCACACTGTTCCTCAGCTTCTTCTTGAAGAAGGACTGATCAGACCCTGACACGGATTTGGCTCTGTTTTTCTTGCTGCGCTTGCTCTGTTTCCGCGAGACCTTGGGGCTCCCTCCAAAGTCAGTATTGTCGACGCTGTCCTTGGATGTCAAGAGTTCTTTACTCCCTGATTTCTCAGCATTGTTGGACTGTTTAGAGACAGCAGGTGTGGCTTTCTCCGAGTTGGTGAAGGGAAGAGAGCTGTTCACTTTTCCCTGAAGCAGTCTGTTGAACTGCGGTGGTGCAGGGCTTCTTTGGTCTGTGTCCGCCCGGTAGTCCTGCAGCATTTGGAAGAAGCTCTCTCCGCTAACACTCTGCACGTCTACTGACGACGTACTGCCATACTCGCGACGCGGCAGTAAGGGATTGTGGTGGTATTCCATTCTGTCGGTGATTTCGTTGAGGGTGGAGTTACTGTTGCTGCGCCGGAGCTGCACGCGTTCCCCACGCGCCATGCTCCGCAAGTTATCCGTCGTCAAGGTGGCTTGTCGGGAAGCCTCCACGTGTCCCTGTGAAGACACAAAGTACTTGTTGTCCGGGCTGGTGTTGTGCCGACGGTGTGGGCTACCTGTCGACCGAGTCCTTTTTTCATCCGGTACTCCTTCACGCCAGAACTGACTCCTGTTACCCGTAGGAGTGCTTATCTGGTCCTGATTCCTCATCAGTTGGACCCTGGTTGCCGTACTAGTCCGGGATTCCTGAGGGAGAGCTGGTCTCACCTCAGCCCCTTGCCCCAGCCTAACGTCTTCATAATTACCATCATACTTGTCCTCGACTTTCACCGGAGTGGCTAAGAATTGTCCCGAGGGCAAGCCACTGCTACTGCTGTTACTGCTGCTGTGGGTGTATCGGTCCATTTCGTCCTGGGGTTTGTTTCTTAGCGGGTCGTCCATGCTGGGGATCCGTCGGACTTCCGACTGCGGGGCAGGGTAGTACTTGTCTTTGGTGTCCCTGGTCTGGGGTGGGGAAACCCGTCCGTTGGGCACCATGGTGCTGTGGTAGTACTCTGCCATCTGTGTCGCACCCTGTCTGACACTCTTAATCAAGTGGGACTGTGTGCTGCTGGGCTGCGACACCACACTGTTGTGCATGTAGGCCGGATACACGCTGCTTCTTCCCTGAGCGGCCATTGTGCGCATGTCACATCCACAATCTAGTTGTGATTATCATTATCTCTACCCACTGCGATAGACCAAGGTTCAGTTGTCCTTGCCGCAAACCGACTAGCTTCCTTCCTGGGCCTGGTGCCTGGGCCCGCCCTCTTACTTCCTGTTCAAAAGAGTCTCTCTCTCCAACCAATTAGGGAAGAGTGAAAGAGATTATCCAGGGCATAACTCTCTAGACTTCCCCATATCCAACAACAAAAACAACAGCTCATTTCATGTTGGATTTCATGTCGAAGCCCAAGTTAGACAACCCTGTTTGTTTGTTGCTCAGTGCTTCCGGTGTTTCCTTCGACTGACTTGTCACAAAGGGGTGAGATTTGGTCTATTGTCTACGCTCAAACATCAAGTTCTGCTTGTCTACGCTCAAACATCAAGTTCTGCTTGTCTGCTGGTTCCATAGGTTGTAGGCCTGCCTCATGTCCATACTGAAGTTATCTGTGGTTCCTACAAGAAGATGGAAAAGTTTTGTTATATTAGTTGGTTGAAATACTCAATTGTGCAGTGCATGCAACTGCATGCAGCAAATGTGGGGTAAAAATCATGGTCAAAGTCTTTGGCTGGACCGAAGTTGAAAATATTTGACGAAATTCCCGAATGTATTTATGGGTCCTAGTAAAAATTTCACTGCGTTGCCATCAAAATTGTGATCTGAAACCATGTTAAAGCAATTGAACCTGTAGGCTTCAACTTGGGTTTTGAATAAATTCAACTGTATTTGATTATTAATATGGTTTTTTGGGGGGGGGGGGTTGCTTTGTACATGTACAATGTATTACGCCTTGAGCACCTTACTGTCGATATGTTTGCGCTTTATAAATCCTCATTTTTATTATTTACTGAGTTTCAGAAAACATTTTAGCTCTTTAGCTGTTAATCGCGGCAATTAGGCCTACATATAATTAGGGAATTTTGGTGGCGATGTTGTAAATATATGGCCAGAGAACTCCCAAAAGGAAAGATCACATGTACGGTACTTGTACAAATACAACATGTACATGGGGACATGGGGACATACCGGTACATACAGACCGGTACCATTTAAAGGCACAATCCATCATTTCCAGCTATCCAAAAATTACCTGACAAAATTATTTTTGAAAAGCATACTTGTTTTAAAGTTAGTAATGGGACTTAACTTCCTGCGAAATTATTCTTTCTGGCAAGCTGTCATTTTGAAGGAAATTTCTGTTAGTACATGTGTAGTTTATTTTTAATTCGGCGAAGCGCGCACAAGTGTGGACACGACACACACAAGCACAAGGTTGCTATAATTCGATGCTCAGTGTGTGACATCGCGTAGCTGCAATCGGCTGAATGAGAAAGTGTCCCGGATGCTGAATTTGGGCACAATTCAAAACATAACTCGAAAAGTTTTGATTTGAAATTGAGATCCTAGAATATTGTTTTCTTGGAATACACAGCATTCACGGAGCTCAAATTTCATCAGGCTGTTCAGCAACCTGCTTTACATGTCGATGTTTAACTCTTTTGTTGCTTCAAACAACATGTATTCATGTAATGCACAAATTACAAATGATGTACTCTGCCTTTAAAAGAAAATGAATCTTTTCATTTCATAGGCCTACATGTGCAAGAACAGTCATTTAAAAAAAACCTGACAACGTCTGCAGTCAATTTCAATGGTAAACGTATACATGTACAAGCTACGTTAACCATAAATATTATTCTAGTTGAAAACCACATTTTTTTAAAAAGCTTGTACCCTCCAACTTCACTAACGTCGATATAAGAATTCACCAAACAATTTGGCTGCAAATGCGGTCACTCCTGACCAGCTTTTTCTTCGCACCAAAGGTTGGGAGTGCATAAAGTACAGCCAAAGGTCACGTGCATGTACATGTACATGTACGGTACATGTAAAGAAAGTGAAAAGGCGGCGATCAACAATACAATTATTGAATTCATCAAGGTGGATTGACACAGTACCAACAGAAAGCTGATTCAAGGCCAGGGCTTTGTTAACAAACCAACTGTGACTGTGTGAGACCAGGCCCACGTTATGTTGTAATAAATACTCCTACACTCCAATTGTTAAGTTGGGTAATTACCATTTCCAGTACATGTAGCGGATACAATGTAGTGGATACTATTCAAATCTACCCACTACTAGGAATTCACTGAGTGTGTTTGTGTGTGAAGGGGGACGTAACTTTATCAGTCAGAAGTGATAGTTATGTTGTTCAATTGAATTGGTTCTGTTTGAATTCAAAGTTGTTCATTTTATGGGTATAACAGTATACATGAAACATGTACATGTACCAGTACATGTACCGTTCGTGTCCAATACGTGTCTTAATTCCTTTTCATGACTTAACCCTTACTCTCTGAGGGTAGTTTACTGCATGTCAGTTGGTTATGCCAATGCCCTCCAGCTGCAGTTTAATGGCAGATAAACTATCTTGACAGTGAAGGCTCCAATTGGCAGGAGTTGGAGGCCCTGGAGGGTGCCTGATACTGACCAGCTGGGGGCACTCACTTTGTTATCAGAGGACTCTCATTGTTCTCTGTGGCATGTATTGGAGTGCCTGTCCAGTTACCCTTGAAATGACATGGCAGATATTGGAGGGCCATGCAAAAAACATAGGAGATTTTCTTGAGGCACATATTGGCATGCGTTGGAGGGTCTAGTAGGGTAAGGGTTAATCATGATCTTGCTGTAGGTGTACATGTATGATGTACATGTACACTTAGTGGGGTGCTGTGGTCCAATGGTTACTGTGTTCGACTCGTGTGCCGTGGTACATGGGTTTGAATCCTGGCCGTGGGAACATGGTGCTTGTGCTCTTGAGCAAGGCACTTTACCATTATTGCTTCGTCCTTCGGATGGGACGTAAAGCCGTAGCTCCCGTGTGTTGTGTAATATGCACGTTAAAGAACCCAGTTATATTTATCGCTAAGAGAAGGGGTTTGCCCCGGTGTTTCTGGCAGTGGCTGCAATATGCGCCGCAACACCTTGTAAACCATTATAAGGTGCTACATAATGGATCTCATATTTCTCATACAGTAAATAATGCAAACCGACACAAAACAACAGTCCCGCATTTATTCCTTTTTCCACAAAAATATGAAACAAAAACCAAAACTATATAAAATGAAAAACGAAACAAAAAGCAGCAATTAACGTGTATAGCCCAAATCAAATAAATTGTTGACAGAAATTTAAAACTGCAGTGTATGCTTTCACATTGAAATGACACTGTGATCCAAACGTTGGCCCGGGCTGATAAAGTTCTGGACAAATTGAACCGCCAAATTGGAACTTCCCGCCAATTTCCTGGGTACACACCAATTGCTTCCTTTGACACGCCTGCCGCAACCTGCGACATCCTGCCCCCTAGGCCACAAATGTGACAGGGTCCCACAAAATGAGCCTTAAGAACAAATTTTCCTTTGTCGTATGTAGTTTGTCACTTTTGCTGGTCCCAGAGGGCCAGCCTAGTGTTCTCTTTGTACATGTACCAGTACCTACAGTGTACATGTAGTCCTGTTCCCTAACGTGGCGCACTTAGAAGCTTACCCGACTTTCCTCGTGTAGTGTTGCTAAACCTCTTTGTTGACAAACCTCAAATTCATGCAGTGAAATACTGGTACTTTTACCTTATTAATGCTTGCTATTTAACCTCTGTGAACAATTTCAGTTTCATAAAATTTAATCCGAAATTCAAAAACGGTGGCGTCCGGAAATTGGGCACAAATTGGCGGAGTGTTCCCTAACATGGCGCACTTGAATAAATCTCGGAAAATTCCAAATTAACATTTAAGAATTTCTGTAAACTTGATAAATTCTGATAAATAATTATTATTTCTACTTACATACCCAGCCAGATGTTTGTCAGAAAATTATTTTCTTATTATTCGGGGCATTTTCAAAGGGTTCACTTTGCACTTGAAAATAATATCAGAAAATCATGCCAAAATAATTTGTTCTTCTAAATTTGTTACGGGTAAATAAACTCGTGATTTATGAACAGGAGTGTTTAGAACTTGATGAAATTTCACTTTCTGTGAAATTTCAGTTAAAACTTTTGCTCTAGGTAGGCGCTACAGGAGAAAAATCAAAGTGCGCTACGTTGGGGGGGCCGCGCCACATTAGGGTATCTCCCTGACTGACTGTCTACATCTCACTGACTGTCACTTGTAACTTTAACAAAATTGGTCAGAATCAGCCCAACTTTAACATCAACCTGTACAGCTGTTGAACAGTTTTCACATCCAGTACGTTTAGATTAGTACCTTTACCCTAACCCTCCTCAATCCTCCAAAATCCTCATGGCGGTTTTGGAGGATTTTGGAGGATTGAGGATGAATGGTGTTTGAGAAACATGAGGAATTTGGAGGACTGAGGATGAATGGTGTTTAAAGAAGAGGATGATTTTGGAGGATTGAGGATGAATGCATTTTGAGAGGCAGGACTGTCTGGCGATTTTGAAGGATTGAGGTGCTGGGTATCATTCATTTGCACATACACAGTGCAAAATTTTGGAGGATTTTGGAAGATTGAAGATGGTTCCTAAGGCCTAGAGTTCACCCTAACTACGGTACCTAGGCATTTTTGCTAGGATACAACCTCAATCCTGCAAAATCATCCAACTGCCAAAAACTGCATACAGCCTCAATCCTGCAAAATCCTCCGTTCGTTCTTGAATGTGGTCCTTAGAGAGGTGATCACTGCCTCAGTCCTGCAAAATCCTTCAGCACCATTGTCAATATGTTGAGGCAGAGCCAGTTACAACCTGGAGCAGACAGTGCAGGGGATTTTCAGTATAATGTACATGTAGGCCTAAATGTATGCAGGGTTGGGGTGGTTAGGGTTTTTCCAAAAACTGTACTCATTTTCAAAAGGGAATGCCAGTAATTTTTATCCCATAATAAACTGTGATGTTAAATGGCCAGCCTCTGTTTTTGTTTTCTTTCTGGTGTCATTTTTTTTTCCTTCCTCATGTTTCAGTTGTCAGCAGAGCAGGGGCTCGCATCCCCCACTGTGGGGGTTGCATGTCTGACGACTCTACCTGCCAGTTTACGCAGCAAGTTTCAGATTCCAGTATCGCCATGGACTCTTCCTGGATTGGCCCAAATTGGAAACGATGACAGGCACAATCAAGGTGGCAAACAGCTAGATGCCAGAGAATTGCCCCGATAGAATATCTGGCCGTGGAAAGAATAGAAAACTCAGGAGTAGGGATGATTTGATTGTTCAGAAGTGTGATGGGTTCAAGCTTACACAAAAAATGTACATGTAGACTACATGTATGACTTCATGAGGACGTTTCGCACTGTCCAAAATCTCTGTGTTGGACCCATAGAGCTATATTAAATTACTAGAGCGTTAACTCGATGTACAAAGTAATGCCTGATGGGCGCATCCATGTTTGTGCACAAACCTACATGTATGGAAAACTCGAAATTTTGTACGGCTTTTGTAC